ATTGGAAAGCAAATTGCTTGGAATTTACATAAACTTCTGCCCGAGGTGAGTGCCGCATTCTGTGAGGCCATTTTCCCCAATAGAAAATGTTTTTCCAAGAAATCGAGGTAGGGGGATTTTCATCTTTCCATTTCTGAGCAATAGCAAGTCTAGCAATGGCAAGGAGAGTGTTAATTAACAACCTTGTTGTGTTATTGACCATAGGCTCCTACCAGAGGTCAAGCAGGAGGATCTCTGGGAGGGCAGGTAAGCGAGTTCCTGTTATGTGTTGTATCTGGTCAATGATTTGGATCCAAAAGGTATGTATTACTGGGCACTGCCACCAGCAGTGCAAGAAATCTCCTACAGTGCCGCATTTCTTCCAGCAACATTTGTTGTTGTCTGCTTTTATTCTGTTCAGCCTAGAGGGGTCATGTACCACCGATTTATCATCTTGAATGAATGTTCAGGGTGGTGAAAACCAGTAAGGATTGTGAGGCAACCAAAGGGATCTGTCAAGGATGGGCAAGTGGGCGTCAACATGGCAAATGGGGTTCAATGTGGCCAAGTGCAAGGTGATGCACATTGGAGCCAAAAATCCTAACTATAAATACACATTGATGGGGTTTGAACTGGCAGAGACTGATCAAGAGAGAGATCTTGGAGTTGTAGTAGATAACTCACTGAAAATGTTGAGACCGTGTGACTGCAATAAATAAGGCCAATGCTATGCTGGGGATTATTAGGAAGGGTATTGAAAACAGATCAGCCAATATCCTTTTTTAAAAAACAAAAATTGTTTATTGGTAGTAATTCAAACATATTTGTACATTCAAAAATAAACATCGTTAACAAGGTTCCAAACAGTTATAAAATTATCATTCTATAATTGAAGTCAAGTTAGTTATTACATATTGAAAAAGCAAAGGAATATTTTTAACCATACATCATTATTTGATATTTAGCTTTGGAAATGGTTTCCCAGTCGAAAGTATCGATTGTGATGTTATCCAATATTGGATACCATTTGTCTAACGGGTTGTAGAAATCACAAGCATTCTGAGTTGTGGAGTTGAAAATGGAGAGCTTTTCCAGAAGATAGAAGTCCCAGACTTTATGGATCCATTGAGTGATTGTTGGAATATGTTTATCTTTCCATTTTCTGGTGATGAGGACTTTCGCTGCTGTAATGAGGATCTTAATCAGTTTTTGAGTTTTGGGTGGATATACATCTTGAGGCCAAAGGTTAAGTAGGATTAAGATGGGGTCCTTCGGAATGTCATAATTTGTAAGTAACTTTATTTGAATAATAATTTGCGACCAAAAAGATTGAATTTTACTACAGCTCCACCAACAATGTAGATAATCTGCTTTAAGTCCACATTGTTTCCAACAAATATTGGAGACTTTAGGATAAATGTGAGACAATCTGTCCGGGGTTAGGTGCCATCTAAGCATAACCTTAATCGATGTTTCTTGACTAAGTAAGGAGTTAGAGATTGTTTTTTGAGTTTGTCAGATTTTATTCCATAAATCTTTGTCGATAGTCTGTTGCAAATCTTTGTGCCATGCAGTTTGATAGCTATGGATTAAATTTGAATTTGCATCAAGCAAGATTTGATAGAGTTTAGCTATTAGGCCTTTCTTTTTACAGGGTTTGGTAAGTAATAGTTCGAAGTTTGTGGAGGGTTTCGAAATGGTATGTTTGAAGTCAGTTGTATAAAGTAAGTTTTGAAGTTGTAGATATTCAAACCAATTGATCTGTATTTTATATTTATTTTCTATGTCAAGCTTGGAGAGAAGATTGCCGTTCCGAAGTAGATCTAAGATTCGTGTGATCTACGATTCGTACGATTGGGCTTCTTTCAATGTTTGGTAAGTATGTTCATTCATGGCAGGTTTGAACCATTTTTGGCCAGTAAAGGTATTGAGTTTAAAATAAGTTCCAGCTAGTTTTTATTTAAATTGATACCAGCTTTTAAATTTAGTTTTGAGATAGGGATTTGGTATGGAGTTTAGTGCTTCTTTATAGCTGAGCTTCCATAATAATTCAGGTATTGACGTATTGGATTGGGAAGGTTGCTCTATATATTTCCATTCGGGGGACAAGTTTTCGGGGTAAAGACGTATTAAGTTGGCTAAATTTGAGGCCACATAATATAAGTGTAAGTCTGGCAATGCCATTCCACCCTTCTTTTGGGATTGTGTTAGTGTGTTATGTTTGATACGTGAAGCTTTAAAGTTCCACAAGAATTGGTTAATATCCTTTTGCTATTTATTTAATTGTTGTTTATCAATGTGAAGGAGGAGAGTGCGGAATAAAAAGAGGTATTTAGATAGTATGTAAGATCTTATAATGCTGATCCTATCTTTCCAGGAGAACCAGGATTTGTTCCATGTTGTAATTTGTTTCTGCATAGTTTTGTGAAGCTCTTTGTAGTTATATTTATAGAGGTTGTAGGGATTTGAATTCCTAAATATTGAAGAGTTGTCTGTGTCCATTGGAATTGATATGACTTTCAGATGATTTGCTTTGTGGTTTCCGATAAAATAATAGGGCAAATGGTAGATTTATTGTTGTTGATTTTGAGCCCTGAAATATTTCCAAATTTTGCCAGTTCTGAGTTAATTTTCTCTAAGGATTCCTTGGGATTAGATATATAAAGAATAAGGTCATCGGCAAACAAGCTTGTTTTGTATTCTACATTGTTTGTAGTTATACTGGTAATGGAAGGGTTGGATCTTAAAGCAATGGCCAAGGGTTCTATAGCTAAAATAAAAAGTAGGGGGGAAAGAGGACACCCTTGATGTTAAGTAAAATTGTTAGATGCTGAGCCATTAATTAAAAGAGTGGCTTGTGGTGATTTATATATTGCTTGGATAAAGGTCCGAAATTGGGGTCCAAATTCCATATGGCTTAATAGGGAGTCAAGATATCCAGTTTCCAAGGAATCGAATGCCTTTTCCATGTCAATAGAAAGTAGCAAAGATTGTTGTATGGTGTTTCGTTTGGCCAAGTTGATAATGTTTAGAGTTTTGCGAATAGATCAGCCAATATCATAATGCTCCTATATAAATCAATGGTGAGACCTCATTTGGAATACTGTGTGCAGTTCTGGTCACCACACCTTAAAAAGGATATTATAGCTTTGAAAAAAGTGCAGAAAAGGGCAACTGGAATGATAAAAGGGTTGGAACACTTTCCCTATGAGGAAAGGTTAAAGCGCTTAGGGCTCTTTAGCTTGGAGAAAAGACGACTGAGGGGTGACATGATCGAGGTTTATAAGATTATGCATGGGAAAGAGCAGGTAAAGAAAGAGGTACTTTTCTCCCTTTCTCACAATACAAGAACTCGTGGGCACTCCATGAAACTGCAGAGCGGTCAGGTTAGAACGGATAAAAGGAAGTACTTCTTCACCCAAAGAGTGATTAACACATGGAATTCACTGCCACAGGAAGTGGTGGGTGCTACAAGCATGGACGGCTTCAAAAGGGAATTAGATAAGCATATGGAGCAGAGGTCCATCAGTGGCTATTAGCCACAAGGTATAGCTAGGGGCTCTGGGGCAAGTGATGCTCTGTCTTCTTGGTGCTTGGGGGGGGGTCAACAGTGGGAGGGCTTCTAATGTCCTGGCCCCACTGCTGGACCTCCTGATGGCACTGGTATTTCTGGCCACTGTGTGACACAGAGTGTTGGACTGGATGGGCCTTTGGCCTGATCCAACATTGGCGTCTCTTATGTTCTTATGTAATGC